CAGCTCCCTTAACCATTGACGGTATTGTATAAATGTGGCAACGTAACACTCTCAATGTTCACCGTGTTCGCCATATTGAGGGGCATCGTAACAACATTCACAAAGGAAGGGTGCGCGTGGGATTCTGGGTTGGTAATTGTCAACATGGAGACGCTGGTGATCAGTCAGTCCGTGTCCCGGATCTTCATTGATGAAGTTCCTAAACTAAAGCTGAAAGTTTGCCTTAAACTCTACATCTGTATGCTGTAATAGCGATATATTAAAATTCTGTCATGACTCCGAGGCTTTAGGGTGAAACTTGCAAATTTTTCACGACTCCATTGTCTCGCAATTCCCAGAAGAGACTCGAGCACAAAGAAAACCAAACCAAATATACAGAAATGAGCAGAAAACCTCGGAGTCATGTAAAAATTCCAATACATCAAACATGGACTATTGCCTTATAGACATGGTTTCAGATCCTTTTATTAGTTTTTCAGTGCATGCGTATCAAAATGGTACTTTACTAGGACTGAATTTTTGCTGTGGCTGAGTTCAAAATTACTGTGCTTCGTTTTCCGCAAAACGCAACACGAATTTCATACCTCCTTATTGCGCTACAAGAGGTTTGCCGTTTTTTGGCCTACATCCTATTGCCCAAGTGTTTCTTCTTCTACTACCCTTTTTTTTATTTTGTTCTCAACAGAATAAAGCCGGGTTTCTGCAGTAAGGATGCGACAAAGTTTTTCCTTATAATAATCTAAAGGTCTTTTTATACAATCTGGTTCAATTTTTCGATGCGAAATTAGATTTCATGTAAGACTTGTTACCAAGTTCAGACGGTTGATTAACAAGACCGTACTCGCTACTTGCAAAGATTAGCCTGAGAGAAAGAGTGACGAACAAAGCGAGCGGCGAGAGAACGAGCGCTGCCGCTCGCGCATACTTTTCACAGTAACCCCTTAATAGAAGAGCGTGCTAGCAGGCTGCAATGCGCGGCTTTTAAGATAACCTTTATTAATATAATGCTGCGCTCAATTAAAAATTGCACCGCAACATTAGGCTATCATTGGCTAATACTTGGTTATCGTAAATTATCATTACTATCATACAATATCGCAGTCTACGAGGTTTTACATTCGACCATAAAACACTACAAGAATATAAACTCGAATTAAAATGAATTAATTATCGCCATATTTCTTCCGTTTGAAACAAACGGCGCTTTGACTATAGCGTTTGAAAAATGTAAAAACAATATTTGAAGATTCCATTGCACTGCGAAAGCATTTTAATACCGAAACTCAGAGTGTTATTGGCAGCGAGAACGAAAGCTACAGGATGTGATGATCAACTGAGCTTTTACGGTGAAGTTCAGAAACTGTCAGAAGGGAGTGTAACACTCGGACGCCGAGTGACACTTGTTCAGTTCCAGAAAAGCGTGGAGAATGAACCAAATTAAATAGGGTAAGTAAAGCCTCGAAAGAAAATCTACAGCTCCCTAATTTTAACCACGTCTTAGGATCGACTGCCGTATACAGCTGCAAAGGCGAGTGATGAATTGTAGCTAATTGTGCTGTGAGGTCAGTGTATATTTCCTAAAACCGCAGTTGTGGTTATGGTTTTAACTAACATGCAATTCGATAACTACTTCAGTCATTACAAATTCACAGTTTCTCATTAGACTGTACACAGTAAAGACAACGAATGCATTAATTACTGCCTAGGTTTTATCTGATCTTATCTTGGCTATTTAGCATATATAATCCGGATACTCGATACACAAAAATTTTGCAATCAACTGAATTTATTACTTTCCTTCTCCTTTATCGGCAACCGTTTTTAAAAGTAATTAAAAAGCAAAGCAATAGTATAATCCAAATTCAACTTCGATCGTCTGGAAGGATCCCGCCATCAAGACTGACTGAAAAAAGAATGAATGAAACGAAAATACTTACAAACCTAAAATGAAGCTTTAAAATATTTTTAATTTTAAAAGAATATGTATGCATTTATAACCAGAACGGTTAAGTGTTACAGGCGGTTATTATGGCTCAGTTTCTTGTCCAGTCGTTTTGACTACTTCTCGAACGCACACTCGAAGTTTAGCTTCTTCTAACATTATAACGGAAGCAAATCTACGAGTAGAAGTTGCTATAATTTCATTTTACGAAAATAGCTAGTTATAAGGTTTCACATTGTACTCAACTGCGGTAAGAGTGGAGCGCTTTTAGCAAGTCTTTCCATCGCAAATTTTGCTGCAGAAAAATATTTGTTTTGAAGCACTGTATTGTATTAGAAATGCCTGTAAAGCTCTTCCCTTTTTCCAGGAACGTTTTCGAATTTATTCAAGGGTTCTATACTAATAAAGTCAATAGAGAAGTTCGCGATGTAAAAGTGACAACAATCAGTACCGTCAACCATGCATGATATCAAATGGAAGACAATAGTCCCACTAAACAAGCAAATGAAACGAGAACATGTCGAGCAAACAAGTGAGCTAATCGAGCGAAACAGTTTAAGTCATGAGAGTTGAAAAGACAAATACAACCTTAAATACTTATACGACTTATTTCATAATTATGCCAAAGACAACTGACTTTACGTATGTCCTTTTTTAAGCAAACATCACAAAATTATGTTTATTTGCAGAAAATAATTGTCGGCTGACGACAAGTGTAGACCACTCACCGCCAACCTTTACATTCCCGGTCTAAAAAGTCACCCTGTTCAAGACGCTTATTATAAAAAGTGAAATTGTATGTCAAGACTCAAGGCCTTGAAAATCATATCCTCTTCAGAGACACATCATTCCAAATAAGGGGGTACCCCCTTTCCCCCTTGATAGTCTGTTCAAATGATGACTACAGGCTTACAAGTTAGTAAGAAATCAACCCCATAAAGAAGTCTTTTAGAGTCGTTTCAGCAGATAACAAAAATATTAAGATGGTTGTATTAACGTTGCCAAATATACTAAATTATGTATTTGTCAAGCTGAACTGAAAAAAAGGAAAAGTACTTTTTTGCGATCAATAGGATTCCAAAATATACGGCTTTTAAAAAATCACGAACGAGTTATACTAATTAATTTTGTTTAGAATATTGTCAAATCGTTTCGATCTATTAAATGAAGGTAAAAGCCTTTCTCGCAGGGTTAGATCTTACTCTAAGGAGCATTAAGTTCTGTCCACTTTCTCTCGTGTTGTGGATGTCTATAACAATGTTATCAATTTTAATAAACTAACATTTGTGATTAGTGACGAAAACTTTAGAAGATGTAGCTGTATTCCAGTCAGTAAAGCCTTTTAGCCTAGCTTAAAATTCCTGCTAAAATTTATACCCATGTAATTCATGTGTCCATAGGTGTGGAATTGTTTTGCTAAGAAGTGAATTTATTACCAACAAAAAAATTGGTAGGGATCTCTTTTTAAGTATTTCAATGTTACGTTCGCAGTATGCATATTAGGTGTCACCTGAAATGCTGCAAAATCGTAATCGGCGTATGATTTATTCTTACTTCATGATGAACTCGGAACAAAAACTATGACAGGAAGTTAAAATCCTAACAGTACTAGATAGGTTTTGGATGAAGATATTTTCAGTCAATATTAAATGTTCATTTTCAGTCAGTCCAACAGTTAAAATCAATTTATGGTAAACAAAAACTTGTTAAAACACGAACAAAGAGTCAACAGAACGGAAGAAAAAGCTGTTGTTAAACTAACGTGGCCTATGTTACTTACGGCGATCAACTCGAGCAGAAAAGAGTCCACAGGTAACAATTTTCCAGCTTTTTTCAAGTCCTATGAGTGTTTTTTTTCGCTTGCTATCGGAAATTTGCGCTTCCTAACGATACATAGTGATCGGCAATTGTTTTGAGACTTTTCGAGCCATGCGAGTACCCAAACAGACTGGATAATCTCACTTTACTCGCAATGAATTCCAAAACTTGGACTGTAGCTTAAAAAGTAAGAGGAGTTACAATTTTTGAAGTTGATCGAAGACTTTATTTATCAGTCTTTCAAAATCTGTTTCGCGAACAAAGTGAAGTTTCAAAATATATACATCGCTGGGTGCGTTTTGTTAAAAGCGACGTCGGGGCGCAAAAATAGGTGCCACTGAGTAAGAAGGCGACTGTTTTCTGTAAAATATCTTTTTGGAGAAGAAAATATTGCCTAGAATTTCCTTTTACTTTAGGACAGCTAAAAATAAAAATTTCTAGATGACTGTACCATTCATGTACAATTTTCGAAGCTTTTCTGATAAATCAGTTGCGATTTTCTATAGTTTAATTTTTCACATTTCACTCCTCGGGTTGGGCTATTTTTCGTAGAAAAAAGGAAACCTAAAATCTTCGGATTCAAAAATGTACTGAAGAAAGTAATTAGTAAAATTTTCACTATCGTAATACGTTAAATTACATCTAAAATTTTCGGTAAAATAAAAGTAATTTTAAGCCCTTGTAATTTCGAAAGGACTCAAGTTCCTCTAGGATGGCAGAGCCGGATACATTTTATAGCTCCGCCGAGAACTGCATTTCTAGAGATCTAGCTAAAAGTGCCCTGGATGGCCTAAAAGGTGTTTTCAATATCTTCGGGAGGAAACCGTCGTTGGATGCCCCTGAGTAAGTTCAAGATAAATTTAGACTGCGAGTTATAAGGAAGGTTCAGGATTCAGCTAGATTTAGTTTTTATTAGCGGAGCTCTCGCGCGCGAAGCGCGCAGCGGAGCACCATGGGTAACAAAATGTGGTAAACTACCCATCCGAGAAAATTTGGTAATCACGTGACCGTACACCGACCGCCCGCCCGCCCGACCGTCCGTCCGCACCACAGGTATACCAACGCAAAATTTCGGGTAGTCTGTGGTGAGGGTTTTTTGGCGCGAAAACGAATGGCAACCCGCGTTTTGTGAAGCATAAACAACTTAGAAGTTCGGGAAAGTCATCTCAGAACAAAAAGAAATTTTTCGTGTCGGTTGACATTTTTTGTACATCCGTATTTTCTACATTATCTATTTATTATGCCCTCTAGTTTGGATTATAGAGATAAAGAGAGGCAGAGAAAACGAGAAAGTAGGCGGCAACCAAGCCAAGCTCAAGAGAGAGAGAGCGACAGAGAGCTAGAGAAACAGTGGAGAAAGGAGGCGAAACTGGTCTGACGAGCAACGGGAGAGGGAGCAAGAAAGAAACAGAGAAAGGAGGCGCAATTTTACTGACAAGCAACGGGAGAAAGAGCAGGAAAGGGATAGAGAAAGGAGGCGCAATTTTACTGATGAGCAACGGGAGAGAGAACAAGAAAGGGATAGAGAAAGGAGGCGCAATTTTACTGATGAGCAACGGGAGAGAGAACAGGAAAGGGACAGAGAAAGGAGGAAACATTTTACTGAGGAGCAACGCGAGAGAGAGCAAGAGAGAAACAGAGAAAGGAGGCAAAATTTTACTGACGAACAACTGGAGAATGAACGAGAGAGAGCAAGAGAAAATAGACGCCTAATAAGCGACGAGCGGCGACGAAGGGAGCGAGAGACAGCAAGGGAAAACAGGCGTCGTCTAAACGAAAACGAACGAGAAGGAGGAGAAGGTGAGCGAATTTTTGCCGAGGTTAGCTTTCTGTTATATGAATCGGGGATTTTACGAAAACAGAGGTAGCTTTTGTTTTGTTTGTTAATCAATAACCTCTTTGTAATTGCATCAGTTTTTTTGGACCAATCACCACACGTCATTTGTTGTCACGCAGTCTAGAGTTGATACCTTTTATCATCCATTGAAGTTGACCTGTGTCCTCCAAGTTCGTTGAAGAGAAACGATATGATTGAAATTTCACAGACAGTCGCGTCCAAGATAAAATTATAGAGTAACCTTATAATTCGTGCTCCTCGGTGTATTTTCGTTGTTTCTGGCGCGGAAAATAAGGTAATCTTAACTTGTATTAATGAAATTTTATCGAAAATTATAACCATTGCCATGTGTCCGATGCATCGCTGAATAAATGATAACTCCTTATGTAAATTTTAGGCGACTCTGGCCTCTGTGACAAGTTAAAATGATTCAGTGTTAGAGGATTGTAAATTATACGGTCTGTGAAAGCGTTGTTATGTTTTCTGAAAAGAGAGCAGAGAGCACCTTGAATTTGAAGATTTTCAATGTCTGTTGAAAGAGCGTTTTGGTGCAGATTGTTCGAGCTTACCTCTATTTGTTTTATTCAGGGTAAACAGAATTTGAAGGATCTATTCTCCCTCTTGTAATTGAAATAACTTTTATTATTTTACTATAAATCTAGGCTTTTCCATTTTGTAGATACCTATCTTCGAGTGTTTAAGAATATATATGGAGATCTATGTAAATAAGGAGGGCAGCCAGGGTTAGAAATTATTTTTGAATGTTGACAGGCCAAACAAATTTAAGCTCGGTCATGTCTAGTTACTAACCGGTCAAAATAAATTATTACCTGCCAAACAAATTTTAGCTCGGTCATGTCTAGTTACTAACCGGTCAAAATAAATTATTACCTGCCAAACAAATTTTAGCTCGGACCGGTCAAAAGACAGTAAAAACTCGTGGGTAAGAACCTGGATTTTCCCATTGCATTAACAGGTACGTTCTTACAAAAATAGTTATTGGCAAAAAATTTGTCTATTTTTCTAAAATGAAAAGGTTCTTATTTTCTGAAGGAAAAAAACATTGCGGCTTATGTCTCCCAAAGAGGTTCACCTGAATATTTTCCAGGTGTATAGAATTTTTTTTATAGATCTGAGAAAATAAAGATGTGTGTCAAATATTGGGCTAAACAGGTTCTTGTATAGAGGGGGCCTAATTATAACTGGCAAGTTTAGCCTAACAGGTTCCTAAAAACCAGGTTCTTAGTCACAGCTAGGTTTTTACTGTATTGAAGACATTGTACTTTGCAGTAATAGCCAAATTAAGACAAAAATTATGTGATCATAAATGCTCAAAAACTCCTTGTGTTGAGAGATGGGGAAATATTATAAACCAGTTTTGAGTGTGGTTATCAAGTTGTTCATTCATTGGAGGGTACAGTGTAGTAAACAATATTTCCAGGAATATTGTCAAGCTCAGCTCGTTTATTCTTAAAAACAATTCCCCATAAGAGTTAAACCAGAAATCACAACTTTTGGCTCAGTATTGTTCTGACATGTTTTCTTTGAACAATAGGTGTATGAAGGGGTGAGGGAAAATTCTTGCCCAACTAAAGATTTTATCTTATCTTCTTAGCCATGGAAGAACATGAAAGTCAGGTCCTCCAGGTTGAATGTAGCATGGAATGCTCTCTGCTTGGTGAACAAGAGCAAAGTCACTCAGCAGGTACTGATATAGTTCATGGTAGATGGTATTTATTATAGAATTGCATAATTGAGTAAAATCACGCATTCTGATTGGTTAACGAAGAGAGGTATTCAGTGTGGAATTGCGAGTTGAAAATGAGGCTAAGGGATGTTTTTTGGCATCTACGTAACAACTATCGTCAAATATTGTAACACAACAACTGCAAAAAAGGTTTTCTACAATGTCATTTTAAAATGTTTTCAAAATCATTGTCACCTTTTGTATATCCTTTCTTAACATACTGTAATGTCGCCTGGTCCTCCACCTACTGTTCCAACCTAAACTGTATTTACCTTTTGCAAAAGCGTCTAGCGCGGCTCATAACAAAAGCTCACTATCTAGCAAATACCACCCCTTTGTTTAGCCAGCTTAAAGTCCTTGACATATTTAGTATTAATTCATTTTCTGTCACTACTTTTATGTATTCTTATCACCATAATCTTTTGCCTAGTAGCTTTCGTGACTTGTTCTTAAGTAGTAATCAAGTCCATCAATACCAAAATTCAACTGGCCTCTCAGTATAGACCTCATTTTTGTAGATCAAATATAAAGCAATTCAGCATCCTTTACTGAGGACCTAAAATCTGGAATTCGTTGCCTGTTTCACTAATTAGCTCTCCTTCTACATTTGTTGTTAAAAAAATTTAAAGAGTTATCTCACTGATAGCCGATCTGTCGCTTAATTTTCTGATCTTGCTCACTCTGTACTCAGCCATGAATTTAGTTCTCTAGGTAGTTGAAGGAAGCCTATTAATATAAGCTTCAAGCTTCGTTAGACTTCCTTGTCACATTAATTTTATAATTTAATTACCCCCCTTTGTTTATGTTGTATAAGGTTTTGTGAGTGACTAAATAAATAAATAGTTAAAAACAAACAAAAGCATTTTTTAAAGTGATCCGGAGGTTCTTCCTTGTTTTGAACTAAACTACAAATTCTTGGAGAGGTATAAAAAACCCCTTTCGCTAGTGACAATGAGAAAACAAGAAAATCCTGTGAACACAGCCCAGAAAATGGCAAGCCAAATTCAAACAAACAAAACCGAGAAGCGACAATGGAGGAAGTGCCAGGGTCAATTGTCACATATACAGAAGAAGAAATGAATACCTTCAAAGATCACATTGTCCCTGAAAACATGAAAAAGAGTGCGCCACTTGCATTCATCCTGAATCGTGGTACTTAGAAAAGTACAAAACAGAGCTGAACTTGAACAGCATTTTAAAAACATTTCAAGGTACTTACCTTATATCAATCGCAACGTTAAACTTTCAGTGCTTTGCCTTGGACACTTCATTTCTTTCAGTTTTGCTACCGAAGAGGTAAAAGGTGTAAATTATTTTCCTTCGCGAGCAAATGACCAATTTGAAAAAGGATGTTATAGATAACCGGCTTGTAAATTCAGTGAAATACCTCTATTTATCCTTACAAGTAGTGTGAAGCTTGTTCATGTGTAAAAAAGTTTGAAAACAAATGTAAAAACAAGCACAAGGTACAAAAAAAGTTGTCAAAGGTTCAAACGTGTATGACTGACCTTGCTTCCTATTCGCTAACACAATGACAGGTTTGACATTTGACTTTGAAATAGCTTTCTGGGGCGCGCGCCCAGGATAAAAACAAACAATATTATTGGTGTTTTCTTTTTTTTTCTGATTTTTATTTGATTATGCAATTCAAGGAAAATCCATTACCTGACTCATGAATTCCACGTTAAATTGCACTTGAAAACCGATATCGGTTTTCGTGTGCAATTTAACGTGGAATTCCCTCGTCAGGTAATGAATTTTCCAATAAAACTTAATAATATACAAGGAAAAAAATTTCTTGAATCAGATTGGCTTAGAGCAGTGCAGTCTTTAGTAAACACAGTACAAAAACAAGGAAACATAATGCAAAAATAAGGAAATAAAGTGCAAATTTCTCAGAGAATGAAAACCTGTGATTGGCTAATAAACAATCAGTGTTCTCCAGAAGCGCGGGCAACTGGCAGTATCACTGGGAACTCTTTTCCAAAGTGCCAGCTACTCTTATGAGTCAAAACATAAAAAAAAACTGTCTGTAACTTTTATCTTGAATTTTTCGTAAGTTCCATTTTTTTCCGCGAAGGATAAAACAGCACCCGAAGCAAATCGTGTTAATTCATTTCTTAGAATACTAGAACATGCAATTTCATCGGGAAAATAACAAACAAACAAAAAAGCCACAAGAGCTTGTTTGAAAGTTTATCGAAAAACACATGAAAATACATGGAACTAAAGTGCCTTGAACAGCTACAAAAGAAGACAGGTGTTGTTTATTCATGGTTGCGAAGCCACTCGCTGAGGCACTTGCCGATAGATAACTGTGGCTTGTTTATCCGACATGAAGAATATAAATCACAAGCAACCAGAATACAGGCTATGCAGCCATTCACTACAGCAATCGAGGTGTCAGTAAAGCTTCTTTTCTTGTTCAGCAAAACCAGCTTGTGGCTTCAAACAACGCCACAACAAGCGACCAAGGTAATAGTTTTTCTCCGTTGTTCTTACTTTTGTAACTGCTCCAAAAATCCAAATTCACAGTAATTTTGATGGCTGTTAAGAATTATTTTTCTTCACATTATCTGCCAGGTTTTTTTAGCTGTCCCGCTGTGTAAAATCCTAGAATCTCGATGAGTTTTTAAAAGTGTTCATCTTTACAATGTTTTGATTTTTCATTCATCCAGTCCAGGCGAGCCGGTTCACGCGTTGACAGTTCTGATAGACATGTGACATGTGAATAGCGGAACTCCCTTGTCTTTTCTGGTTTGTTCTAACAAGATTCAAAGGGATTTTGTGGGCGTTTTTAATAAAATAATTATTCCACTTGCGCTTGTTGGATGAGATGATTATTGCCAACTCGGCGTTATGCGTCTCGTTGGCTATTTACCATCTCATATCCAACGTGCCCTCGTGGAATAATTGTTAATTATAAAATAACTAAGATAGTACGTGCATTCTGTCTGATTGGTTAAAAACCAATAGTTTATTGTTCCGGTAAAATCATAGAAAACTGAAACATGCTTTAAGGTTATTTTATAAAAGTAAAAGACCACATTTTCTAAAGGTTTGCTGGTGTGATAACCCACTTGGGATGTTGGGAGAAGAGTGGAAAAGCTTGTAAACCACCAGCTTAACTACTCAGATCTCTGGGCCTCATGCCCCCAAACCCCCCCTTAGATACGGTACTCTCGCTTTACCAGCACTTGGTGTCAGGCACCAGTTACTTTTCATTGGGAGCTGGCTACTCTAAAACTTCTGGAGAACACTGAACAATAGAAATATATAAGAACCAATGAGCCTCAGGTGTCACAATCTGCTTGTTTATCTTCTTAGCCATGGAGGAACATGAAAGTCAGGTCCTCCAGGTTGAATGTAGCATGGAATGCTCTCTGCTTGGTGAACAAGAGCAAAGTCAATCAGCAGGTACTGATATAGTTCATGGTAGATGGTATTTATTATAAAACTTAATAATATACATGGAAAAATTTCTTTAATGAGATTGGCTTAGAGCAGTGCAGTTTTTAGTAAACACAGTAAAAAAAACAAGGAAACATAATGCAAAAATAAGGAAATAAAGTGCAAATTTCTCAGAGAATGAAAACCTGTGAACAATCAGTGTTCTCCAGAAGCGCAGGCGACTGGTGGTTTCGCTGGCTACTCTTATGACTCAAAACAGTAAAAAAAAACTGTCTGTACCTTTTATCTTGAATTTTTCAGAAGGTCCTAAAAGAAACAAAAACAATAACTTGTCGTACAAAAAGCTCTTTGGTGTATGACAATTTGCCTTTTGCTAATGGTATTATCGATATATTTACTGAATGATTTTTGATGAGACATTGCCAGATAATATTTTTAATTATAAAATTACTAAGATAGTACATGCATTCTGATTGGTTAAAAACCAATAGTTTATTGTGCTGGTAATCTCATAGTAAACTGAAACATGCTTTAAAGTTATTTTATAAAAGTAAAAGACCACATTTTCTATGGATTTACCAGCATGATAACTCACTTGGTTCTTGGGAGAACTCTGGAAAAGCTTGTAAATCACGAGCAAAACTTCTCAGATCTCTGGGCTTAATGCCCCCAAACCCCTCCCTTAGATACAGTACTCTCGCTTTATCAGTGCTTGGTGTCAGGCACCAGTTTCTTTGCTTTGGGAGCTGGCTACTCTAAAACTTCTGGATAACACTGAACAATAGAAATATATAAGAACCAATCAGCCTCAGGTGTCACAATCTGCTTGCCCAACTTATTAAGATTATATCTTATCTTCTTAGCCATAGAAGAACATGAAAGTGAAGTCCTCCAACTTGAATGTAGCATGGAAAGCTCTCTGCCAGGTGAACAAGAGCAAAGTCATTCAGCAGGTACTGATATACCGGTAGTTGTTTATGGTAGATGGTATTTTATTATGAAAGTTAATAATATACATGAAAAAATTTCTCTGTGAATTTGATTGGCTTAGAGCAGTGTACTTTTTAGTAAACACAATGCAAAAACAAGGAAACATAATGCAAAAAGAAAGAAATATAATGCAAATTTATCAGAGAATGAAAAACTGTGATTGGGCTAATAAACAATAGAAATTTATCAGAACTAATTAAGTGCCACAATTTGCTGGTGGGAAGCATGTATACTTTTAAAACTTCCCCCTTTTTGGTGTAATTAATTATGCTCTGTTGTCTTACCTAAGTAATCTTTCCTTTTTCTTGTAACACTTTTTTTTCTCAATATTTTATTTTATGAATTTACCTGATTATTTTTATTTATTTATTCATTGTGGGTTGTTTTGTTTTCATTTTTGTAACCAAGATTTTGAAATAAATAAAGGTGTGGGTGGGCGTGTGTGTGTAACAAATAAGAATGTTAAAACTTTCATATATATATTTTTTACATGGACTCAAAAGAGCAGCTATATAATCAGTGATTTTGTTACCTCTGCATTCTATCTATGTTCCTGACGCATAAAAATCGCCAAAGACATAAAATAATTCATGGATATATCGATCTGAACGTGTGTATTTGTAGAAATATCCCGTACGTGTAATTTCTGTGGCAGTTATGGTTGTTGTTTAGTGATGCATATTTGTTTTAGCCTTTGTTGACTTCTGCTTTAAAATAGAAGAACTATATTTTAATTTCAGTATACTATAATACAGAGTTTTGGAGTGTGTCTTCAGATTAACTGTCTGCGGCTGGTACATAAAGGCCCAAACATTTTCCATTTTGGACTCATTTTTTTTAACTGGGACTCATTGGTTCTGGACTGGGACTCATGATTTCTCACAAGGTGAGTCCCAGAATTCATCATATTTATTTGTAACAAAAACACTGTATAATTCATTGATTAGACCTGTTGTCGTGTAATATAAGTGTTGTTGTTGTGGTAAACATGACAAGTCATCATGTCTGTACTTAATTCTCCATGACTGGATTGTAGGATTTTTGTTCTGTTTGTATTTGATCGTGCATTATTATTATGGGAAAACTTACCTTAGGGTTGTATTACTTTGACTAGAACAAAGTTAAAATACATTGAATTCTCATAGAGATAATTATTTTTTGGATTATAATAGTGAGTTCATTGGTTGGGTCACTCCCATTATATTTGATGACTGATTTATGAAATATCAGCACTTAGAAAATGATTGTCAAGGTTGTTGTATTATCTGAAGTTTCAAAAGTAGAAATATTGTGTATTTTCTATTTGAAATCAGGTTTTGAGAACGCTTCCACAGATACAGCTTTATAATAGTAATTCTTGTACAGTTATACAAGCATGCAGTACTAGGGTGCGAAGAAAAGGAGGTCAGTTTTGTGCTTGTCCTTCGGGAAGACTGTAGCTTGCATCTGTTAGCCCAAGAATCACAACTCTATTATCCCTCAGGCAAGATAAAAAATAGAATCCACTAGCCCCATAGCTTATATGAATTGTGTAGTTGGTTAATACAAATAATTCATTTACTAGGAGAAGAGTTGGAACGACACACTCCTGCAGTAGAAAATGGCCCAATTGAGGGAGCAAGCAACGTGCAGGAATCACAGCAACCTCTTCCAGAAGTAAATAATAGTAGCCACTTAGAAGATGACCACCTAATTGCTAGAGCAAGGGTAGTTGGTGTGGACTATGAGTTTGCAAAACATGATACCCCCGCCCTTTTGAGCGGCTAATACGGGGCGAGATCTTGTAAAGATCTTCAAAAATGCCTCGGGGGACCGGGAACCCTCTTTTTTGTCCAGCAACTTGTCTTATTTAAGAGTAGGATGACAAGACAAATAAATATAGTAAGTAAGATAGGGGGACATTTGAGAACAACTAAACTAAATGAACTACAATACAGTGGAACCCCGTTAATGCGACCACCGTTGGGCCATAAAATCCTGGTCGTAATAACGAGGTGGTCGCATTAACGGGGTCTTCAAAATAATAAAATGACTCAATGGTTTTTACGTCTGGTTTGAAAGAATATGGCCGTAATAACGAGGTGGTCTTAAGGCGGGGTTCCACTGTAGTATAGAAACCTGCAAGAACCTGCACTTTCCCAAATTAGTGAATATGGGAATCAGCTAAAATAAAAGCTTTTAGGTTGTTTTTACGTTGTAGCTAATGCCAAAATTTTATTTACTTGAATCCAGTCTATTCCTTTTTCCCTCCAACAACAATGATATATTAAGAAACATTGTTATTATAGCTGGAAATTTCTTTCCAACCATGTGCACACTCATTGGTTATTTCAATGTCACTTGACATCTAACAATGAAACTTTTTGGTGCCAGTATTCTCTAAGCAGGCAACATCGCAAAAATCATTCACATCAGGGGGTAACAGTGCACTATTACCCGTGAATGACCAACAACTGACATTCCAGGGAGGTTTAATGAATTTCCATGCAGCTATAAATTTTTTAAAATATTAACATCACAAATCACTTAAAGACTTGGCCCATGGGAAACAGTTAATTTTGTTTTCCAAGAATCTAAATATTTCCCAGCACCATTCTCATTAGTTACTTCGAGGTCACATGACATCTAACTGTTTCCCACCACAATCTCTGAGGAATTGCCAGGCTAATTGACCAGCTGCTGTGGAAATTGGAGAATGACTATATGAATGGTTAGGTACGTTAGGTACAGTGCCAAAGTTGCATTGATAACTGTGGTGATCTTCCCTGAATTTATTTCTTCATTCTGCATTTCCAGTATATGAAATTAATGTATTTATTATACCATATATAACTTTGTTGTGTGAATTCACCTTGGATAAGTTAATCATTTCTTGTGCTGTTTTTAAGTTATAGAGTTTTAGTTTTAGTTTCAACTTTTAAGACCTTTTTCTTTCCTGCTCTTTAAACCTTATCTAACTGCGTTGTACTTTTTTCGTAGTTTTCTTTGACTCCTCTTCTTCCTTTGTCGGGAGTGGGTTGCGGCTACACGTAGGCTAGACTACATTCCGATACCGACTGGGGGGTATCAGTATTTGCAACGAGGTTATATCGTATTGTGTACCAGTGTGAATAAAACGATCTTCATCATCATCATTATTATCGTTATTATTATTGTAATGAAATCGGGAGCTCCGCTTTTAGGCTTGGCTAAATCTATATATTAGGGTCTTCTTCGGGAAAACTTTGAGCACAACACTTCACGGAAAACGGGTAG